CCTGCCCACACAGAGCCTTCCCAAAGGCTGCTGGGGATGGAGGGATGGAGGGGGTGGCAGCAGAGCTCTGGTGTCCCCACAGCCCTTGGATGATGGATGGATGGATGGATGGATGGATGGATGGATGGATGGATGGATCCATGGATCCATGGATGGATGATGGATGGATGGATGGATGGATGGATGGATGGAGCCATGGATGGAGCCATGGATGGAGCCATGGATGGAGTGACTGGTGCAGGCTCCATCTCCCAGTGTGCCAGCTGTGCCGTGGGGCCTGGAGGGGGTGGCAGCAGAGCTCTGGTGTCCCCACACCCCAAGGAGGGCTGGGCACTGTGCCAGCTGTGCCAGCTGCTCCCGATGGTGCTGCCATCCCTGCCCAGCTCTGCTCTGCTCACCCTGGCTCTCCCGCCCCCAGGGCCCCTGCTGAACCCCCTGGTGGTGTTCTGCCAGTCCAAGGCCGAGCTGAAGCAGTGGCTGTACCACCTGGAGAAGCAGATCCAGCTCTGTGGAGGGAGCCTGGCCCTGCCCCTGCTGTCCCAGGTGGGTGTCCCATGTCCCATGTCCCATGTCCCATGTCCCTCTGCTGGCTCCAGCTGGGACACTGGGGGGGGTTCCCTTTGGGGGCTTTCCTGGGGAAAACAGGGTACAAAAGGAGCTTGCAGGAGGGGTCTGAGAGGCACAGTGCTGGGGGGAAGAGCTGCCACCCACGGGTGCCACCAGCAGCACAACCTCCATGGGGTCACAGCTTGGGACAGCCTCAGGGACGCTCTCGTGCTTTTGGTGCTTTTGCAACCACCCAGAGCTTGCAGAACACCTGCAGGAGGAGGCTGAAGCTTAGAAAATAGAGAGGAATTGTCCCTCCCATCTCTGAGGGTGCTTTAATTCCCTCCCCACTTGTCAAACACAAATGTCCCCTTGGAAAGGCATTCCCAGGGATGCTGGCTGTGGAGGGTGCCAATCCGCTCCCAGCTGGAAAACCGCCTCCTGCCCAGATTTACTTGCCCTCTCCTGCTCCTGCCACACCAAAAAGGCGTCCCCAGGTGGGGCAGGGCTGGCTGAGGGCAGGGCTGCTCAGTGTGTCTGTCCCCAGGGCCCCGGGGACAAGGAGGAGCTGCGCTGGTCCGTGCAGAACCTGCCCGTGCAGGACTGGAGGGGAACCCAGCGGGAATCCCTGGGAGAAATCCTCTGCCTGTCCAAGGTGAAGCTGCAGCACCTGCCCTTCCAGGTAGGACACGGCTCTGGGGACAGAGGAATCCATGGATGGATGGATGAAGGGAGGGATGGAGGGATGGATCCGTGGATGGATAAATCCATGGATGGATGGGGGATGGATGGATGGATGGATGGATGGATGGATGGATGGATGGATGGATCCATGGAGGGAGCTATGGATGGAGGGATCCATGGATGGAGTCACTGGTGCAGGCTCCATCTCCCAGCAAAGAAAGCNCCTCATGGGCAGTGCCCCCTCCTGAACTGCCCATTTCCCTCAGAGTGCCAGACTGGTTTGGGTTGGAATTTACAGCTCATCTCATCCCACCCATCCCACCTTCTACCATCCTGGTTTGCTCCAAACCCCGTCCAGCTTGGGCACTCCAGGGATCCAGGGGCAGGCACAGCTTCCCTGAGCAGCCTCTTCTTCCCCTCTGCAGCTACGACGGGACCTCTGACCTGGCCACCGTGGAGTCCTACGACCCTGTCACCAACTGCTGGCAGCCCGAGGTGTCCATGGGCACCAGGAGGAGCTGCCTGGGGGTGGCAGCCCTGCACGGGCTCCTCTACGCTGCCGGGGGGTACGATGGGGCCTCGTGCCTCAACAGGTAGGGATGCCTGCCTGCATCCTCCCTGCTCCTGCACGCACTGGCCTGGAGCTGGGAGCCCTGCTCCTGAGCCTGAGCAGATGTTTGACAGCTCACCTCTGTGACAGCAGTGGTCACAGGGGTCTCAGGGTGAGGGAAGAGATGAGGATCTGACTCCATGTTTCAGATTTATTGATTTATTATTTTATTATATAGATTACATTAAAACTATACTTAAGAATAGAAGGAAAGGTTTCATCTCAGAAGGCTGGCTAAGAATAGAATAGCAAAGAATGATAACAAAGGTTTGTGGCTCCGCTCTCTGTCTGAGCCAGCTGTCTGTGATTGGCCACTAATTAGAAACAACCACATGAGACCAATCACAGATGCACCTGTTGCATTCCACTGCAGCAGATAATCATTGTTTGCATTTTGTTCCTGAGGCCTCTCAGCTTCTCAGGAGGAAAAATCTTAAGGAAAGATTTTTAATGAAAAGATGTCTGTGACACACCTCCTTCTCCCCACTTTGTATCCCTCGGCCCCAACAGAACCCAGCCTGTGGCAGCTCCCCCTGCATTTCCCCTGTCTGTCCCCAATCTGTGAGAGCTCCCCACATCCAGGAGCTTTGCCCTGGGCTTTCCCAGTGTCCCACCTTTGTCCCTGTGTCCCTGCAGTGCAGAGAGGTACGACCCGCTGACGGGCACCTGGACGTCCATCGCTGCCATG